GCCGAACATCTGGCCCTGCACTGTCCCCTGCAACTCAACAACTGTCCCTTCACGGAGTACGGTTGCACCTTTCGGGGCAAAAAGAAAGCCATTAAGGCGCACCTGGCCGAGGAGCTACTACTGCACATGCTGTTGATGCGGGATGCCCTGCACGAGTTTCGCAACCTTCTGGATATGCAGGTATGTCCGCCACTTCTCCCCCATAGAGAGCTTGCGTTTCAGTGAGGACTGACAGTATAGAGTCCCCCAGTGTCTGGTAAACTCAGAAGGAAAGTGTAACTGGTAGGAAAGGGACTACACTGAGTATGATGTTTGGACTGTGACGTGCGGCCGACTTCGCACTAAAAGATCTTAGTCGTGGTGTGCCTCTGAAGTTGGTTTTAAGTTAACGGAATCCCTGTGTATAGTTCCGACAAAATGTTGAACGTTAAAACAGAAAAAAATGTTCTTTCAGGGCTTTAGTCACGGTTGACCAGCTAATATGTGTTCGCAGGTATGTATACTAACATGACTTTGGACGTACCCTGTCCTTTTGAGGGTTAGACAAACGGCCTATGGTGCAGGTGGTACGGAGAGACCGGAGTGGATACTAAAGGCCGACAGGTAATGCAGTTCACTGTCTCTTATGTCGCTGGCCTCACTGGAAAGCAGTTTTTTCAGCCCGTCGATATTGGACCTCGGAATACGTGGGTTCACATTTTGTGGGATTGTCTACTTGATCCACTCTGAAGTATTCGTGCAGCAAATAAAACTTGATATCGGTTAAAGAAACAAACGACCAGATCCATCGGGTCCTGATAGGGGTTTCTTTGTTCGTTGGACAGCAGGTTCCATATACGTCCATTAATATGTGGATGTTCGTCTTCATAGGCACATTAGGGTGCTTTGCTGACTAGTAGCATGTTGCCGTGACTTTAAACACATTGAAGGTCCCAGAGATGTTTCATCTATTCTACAAGGAGATAATATTTTAAGGGTACTCGAAATGTTCCGGGAAAGTATACAGTACGGTGCAAAAGTCGTGTAAAATGCCGAGGTGTGCGAAATATTAATAATCACTCGCACACCGACATTAACGTATGCACGAAAACTTAGAACTAATAAAGAAAAAAATGAGAAGTAGTAATTGTTTGTAAAAAATTATCTTCTTGATAACACTCAGGTTCCTCAGACATGGAAGGTTAATTCTTCCTTGCTCATTAATTACCCAGGTAATTTGAATTAAAAACTTTAACAGCTAACAAGGGGAGTCCATTGTAATAATTTTGTTAGTCCATCTGCTCTTGCCAAGACGACGTCTGCCCCGAAAGTAGCAATTTTCAATGGCCAAATGTCTTCAGGGAGGGGAGGGGGCTGTACAATTGTTCCATCGTCATGGTGACACCTTTTCACTGAATTAAAAGCCGTATGCATGTATGAGGAAAGCCGTCTGCCTTTTCTTTTCCTGTCCATTGTGTCCATCATTTGAAAACCCACCCCTTTTTTGAATGTTGCGTGGGCGTACGCAAAAGAACATATCAGAGTGCACACCAAATGCAGTGCGCTTTGCCAGAAAAAAGACAGAATTTTAAGAGGGCCGCAAAAACAGTACTGGCTTGCAGCAGTCCAGAGTTTCAGAGGAAGTAAAGCGCGAGGTTTCTCTCAACAGACTGGGCGATTCATCCTGAGACAAAGTTTTTATTTGACGACACAACGCTGTCGGAAAGGACATGGAGGACCTGGTTGCACTTACAAGCACACCGTAATTTCCTGCTTGAGAACGGCTAATTCTCTTTCTTAGAGGTTGACCTATAAACGAGTTGGAAAGTGGATTATCGGGGCAGCTCATTACCCATTAATTGGGTTAGAAAATATCCTGCAAACTTAACCTGCAATGTTTATTCTCGCAGGGGGTTAAGTAAGTTAAACCCTAGCAACTTCGATCTTCAGACCATGGTTACTTAGTAGAGAAAAAGTCAGTAGAGTCCAGAGTAGTAGGAACAGTATTTTGTGTACACAGAGAAACGGAGAATAGATGTAAGAAATCTGACTTGGGAGCACACGACCAGCCAGGAGAGCCAACCGCGTCCAAGTGCTGGTTTGACAACAGTCAGGCCAGTGGGCAGAGAGAGCAATTCAAGCAGGATTGCTACTCGTCGCCGGCCCAAGGGCATCTATGCAGATACTGTGATTGGCTGTTCCCAAACGTCGAGAATTGCAGTCGTGAGACTCTAGTAAAGTTCACTTCGACGCGAGCTAGTCGCAACACACTACTAGCCGATGTGCGGCTGTTGATGGGGCTCGAGAGTGGACCCCAAGGCAGAGCGGGACAAGTGAGTTCCATCAGCGGTCAGTGAACATTAATCAACGAGTGTGGGTGTCTACTGATCTAATCCGGCAAGAAAACGAGCCCGTGGCTCAATGATTAGAGTGGTAGACTCCTGATCAAAAGGGCACAGATTCGAGTTCCAGCTGGAACATTACTTGGGGTTGGTATGCCTGACGGCTAATGAGCCAGAAATGGCCATTCTAGTTTCTCTTTTCTTTGCCAACAATGCTATCTGCCTAAATATCACAGGTCGCGGGCGATTCGACCCCCGGCTTGAACACCACTTGCGATTGGGTATGCCTGAGTTATGACGGCTAATGAGTCAGAAATGGCCATTCCAGGCTACCTTGTTTTTGCCGTCGATGTTCAAGCCAAATGTTAGGGGTAACAGCCCCCTACAGAAACCTGTCGTCGCTCGGCCATCATTGCTTACCGATAAGTGTGGTCATTTTTCCCCTCCCCAGCGCCTTTTTATAATGGGTAAAGAAATTAGTAAAGATCACGAGTTGAGCAGAATTTAATGACGTCATGAAATTTCGTGACCTCTCATTCACCTGCAGACGGTCGTTACCTATTAATAAGAGTCATGACGTCATTAAATTCTGCTCAACTCGTGATCTTCGCCTTGTGCAAATTTCTTTCAGGAAATCAATGTTTCAAAGAAATTGGTCTTATCCTAGGCATTACAGTCACGTCAGCTGGCGAGGTCATTGTCTGCCTGTGTTCCTCAAATCTGAGGGCAGGTATCTTCTTGTGCTCTTGCTTTTTAATGGGTTTCAGTGTACGAAATTGAGGATTGTGCAGTTAAGCGTGGCCAGGGAAGGTTACTCTATCACCAACATATTTATTTACCGAAAAAATCGCGAGTTTGATCCTCAGGTGGGACACCACTTGGGGCTGGGTATGACTGACTGACGGCGGCTAATGAGCCAAAGATGGCCATTCCGTTCCCCCTTAACCTTTTCGGCTACAACGCTCTCATCCACTACTGGCTGTCTGATGATGGCTAGTAAGCCAGAAACGGTCATTCCAGACTCTCTTGTCTTTGCCGGTAATGTCATTCCGGCAATTTCCAGCCTCTGATAGTCGGCATGAAAGAAGGAAGAAGTCTAACCTGAAGGATCCGTCTCCTAGTCTTCCCCACTTTAGTGAATCCGACGCTCTTAACATCAGAACGTTGCTAATTGACAGGCGTAGCTCAGGCTTTTTCAGGACTGAGAATCAGACGGCAAGGAGTCTCCTTTTTAATGTGGTTTCTATGGCTTTCTCCTGCAGGCGAGGTACCAGTCATCTTTGCTGGTGTTTGGTTTTCGCCATCGGCGCTGGGTCGTGTGTGGCCCGCGCTCAAGCCCGCCTCCAGTCATTTTACTGTTGCCAAACTGAAGACTACTTCACACGCGAGTGAGCTTTGCTGGGCCTACTCTGTGGGTCACATAGTGGGCGTGTAGTGATCTCGGCTGTGGTTGGTCACTGCAATCATTAGATCGAATCCCAGGTGGAAGGTAAAAGACGGGAATCGCCAGAATGAGGGCTTTATTGTGCACAGAACCCAGAGTTGCTGTCTCGGGCAGCAGTTTCCACTGGTCAAAGTCAGGGCTAGTGTTAACTACGTACAGTGTCTGACTGTCAGAGTGTGAGATCCGATGATGGTAGTTGCTTTCACAGGATTGTGAAGCAAGTTCAAGGGGAGTGGAGTGTTAAATTGCGCGAAGGGGGTGGCGAGCATTGAGGCCGCTGTTGCATTGGCCGAGGACAAGCATGATCACTTAGTTCTCAAATAGCCGCGACTGGTTTGGAAACGCGCGTATAGGAGTGAAAGTCGGTCAGGTGATCTTTAGGTCAGCAATTCAGAAACAGCCGCCTGCAAAGACATAGGACCTTGAGGCAGTTAGTATTGAACAAGGAAGACAGACATCATTGTTGGTCGTCCACCACAGATGGCATCGTTCGCAAAGTTCCCTTCTGGAACTGGAAAATTGGATCTTAAATCACTGAAAATTTGCCGAAAGAAAATGCCAGGAATCGAATTGTTTACCAGAAGGAAAGAATTCATCCTTCAAAATTATTTTTTCTCAGTTTATGAGCTAATTTTACCACAAAACATAGTAATAAGCTTGTTTGAACTCTTTTGTTTTATCACACCGAGAACTGAGATCAATCTATATTCAATTTGGAACACGCGACAAAATACTTATTGTATAGAACTGCTTTCTTTGATGTGTAACTTAGAAATGGAATGGACAGAAGGTAATTATTTTCTGAAAAATCCTAGTATATATTTGGTCACTCTCTCGTGCATTTTCAGTATCGAAACGGGGCGTATAAGTAACCAAATACAAGTAGCAATACTCCATTATAAAGAGGAAAGTGATTTCTTTCATTTTCAACAGATACTTTACAACACCTTTCAGAAAGACCGACTAACAGATAAAGGTTACTCGTTTTCACTTTGAAAAATGTAACTTACGCAAATATTCGTCGGCTGAATATCTAAGTAAAGTTTTTTTAAAGAGAGAACTTGCTGTGGAAAGTTTGATAATTAATTTTAGACATGTTAGTATCCGAAGTGTGTTGTGAAGGTCTATTTTGCTTTGCAACAAGTTTTATGTGTTTGGGTGAATCTACAGGCATGTTCTAGATAGTCAGCTTCATAAGAACTTATATCTAAAACGGTCCCTTTCGGTTACTACTTCGAAAAACTCTTATTTTGCGGCTTTTGATAAAAACATAGAACTGAATATAAAATTAATGGGAAAGGCTTGAAAGCATGGAAAATCTTGCAGTATTTATCAAAATTTCAAGGAAAATATGAAATTAACTCTTATCAAATATCATAAATACCCATAAAGCATTACGATGAAAGGAAAATTCTTTAAATATACACAAACTAGTTATGTTTACAATGTCACCTGAAAAATATAGCTACATTTATTGGTCACTGTTACACTGATTTTTCAAGTTAGAGGAATTTAAGGTTTTTCTTTAAAAAAGAAACTGCTATTTCTAAAAAAAAACTAACAGTACTCTTTAGATTTCCTTTAAATTTTCAATTCGCCTGTTTGCTGATTATTAGTTCAAAATTTTCGTACATGCCTTAGTGCCGGTTAACGTGTGATAATCAACCTTTCGTAAATTTTAGAATTTTGCATTAAGTGGGTTTTCTACTGTAGATCCAGGGGTGGCAGGAAAGGGTAATCGGACGGGAGAACCGATAGCATGTTTCAATTCTACAGATTGCATGGCGGTAGGCTGAGGACATTTTATTTTCTTATCTGACGGGGCGTTTTTGTGGGAGGGGATAGGCGGAGGCTGTGTTAACCCACTTGTACTGAGTGCCGCTCCCGTCCGAATTCCACTCCTTAATAAATGGGAGGGAATGTGTGGACGGCTTGGGCTTCCATGTATCGAGGAGGGCGAATCCAGGTTTGCCAAAAAGTAGAAAAAATGATACTCCGATTTGTAGACCATTCAATAAGACTATATTTTATTCTTCATCGTGAGCAATGATTGATCCCCTTACAGGTACAGGCCGTCCAAGAAAGCCAAGCAACAGTCAAGAAATTGCAGGCCAAGTTGCGACGAAGCGAAGCCTACTTCGAGCCCTCTTTCATCTGGCGCATCGAGGGCTACCGCCAGAAGTTTGAAGACGCCCAACAGGGCAAGCGGACGGCACTCTTTAGTCAACCATTCTACAGGTAAAAATTACAAGTATATATTGTAATTAAATTGACTGGCTTACTAGCCGTCACCAGCCAGTCATACCTAATCCCAGATGTGGATCATTCGGGATTCGAACCCGGGACCTTTGGTCACTGGGTTTACCATTTTACCATTGCACTGTGGGCTCGCTGCTTTATAGGTTGAGATCGGGAATTACTAGTACTAGCTGACGGTATGGTAAATTACAACAAAAAGTTATACTTATGTCTGTCTGTTGGCCGCATGTGTATATTACACGATTATCCCACAGTTGCTGATGGAGTTGGGCCCAAACTTATACATCAAATTTCAGTCTATGCCTACAAACCATGAATAAACTGTTCTAGACCGAGCATAGAAATTAAGTTCTAAGGAGAGTAAAAAGCTCAAAGAACTACAACTGTCATCTAGCGTACTGAGGAGTACCCTCAGAAGTTTTAAGAAGCCCAACAGGGCAAACAGATAGTACGCTTTAGTCAATGTAAGAACCAGGTACCTTTCAGCTCAGACCTGGAAAGTGGAAACGGTTGCCTGCTTTTACCGCTGAGACTTCGACTCCTCGTTCCAACGATCGAATCTTCTATCTATTCATTTATTTGATAATATTTACTCCGGTAATGAAATGTATCACAGAGAACTGAAATATATTTTTGAGTTGAGTTAATATATGCCTGTAGGATTTCGTTAGTCGATGTTTGATGTCACAGGAATACAAAAGCAATTGTTACTTCCATCAAAATTAGTAGAAGGACTTTAAAGCAGAAGGAGGAATTATGATCGTCATATCTCGAGATGAAAGGGTCAACGAAAATAAATATTGGAGCTGCAGCTGTCGATCTGTCGGCCACTCTTGACCTTCCGCCTGAACACCTGCAGCTGTCTCTGAGGATGCTTTCGAGCGTGAGTCCAAAACGTCAGGCCCGTAAATGTCTTGTCCCGGCGATCGCATATCCTAATTCCGAACGGCTTCTCGAAACTCACACGTTCGCTTCTATCAGCGTATACTCAACTCTAACCTAACCACTAAGCCTAGTCCCATGGAAACTAGCGTAAGGCCCTAAAACAGGAGGGGTTTCTACCCACGTGCCTTGTCACATAGGATATCGAGTGACACTAAACTTCACATTACTCTGAAGTAAAGACGAGTTTACAAGCAAAGCACTATCAGACCTTAACTTCAGAAAATTGTTCAGTATTGTTTCTCATTGTTTGTTGGTCGTAACTGCAATCCTTAAAAAGTTCTACCTCCAAAATTGTCCTGATTATGCGCGTTCTCAATGCCCCTCAAAGGCTTCAAGTAAAAGCATCGTTTCAGCTGTAAAGGCAACAGCCGATAAAGCCCAGCCCGTAAATAGGTTAGCTATAGATTAAATTTCCCTCGACGAGAAGGCAGTTTTTTCAGCAAGCGGAGCGTTCTACTCTGTGGACGCCTCTTGAATACGTGGCCTAGTATGTCTTCGAAAAAGACATGTTTATATATGTACGAAGAATTAGCATAGATATTTTTAAGTCTGTACAGACGTTATTGGCTCTAAATATGTTGTCTTCAACACCCTTTCAGTCATCGCCATGGCTACCGCGTCTGTCTCTCGATCTGCCCATATGGAGAACAGCGTTATCGCGGAAAGTACTTGTCTGTTTTCATCTGTCTTTGCCGTGGCGAGTACGACGCCCTCCTCAGCTGGCCATTTTCATTTCCGGTACGATTTAAATAAATTGGTTTACTAACAAAATATTAGTATTTGAGTTGACCCAAGTGTGAAAAACTCTAGGCGTTTGGCGAAATTTGAACCCGCGCATCAGAGAAAGCCTTTAGTAGGCTGTTTTGCTTGCCTTTACATAATTGCATCGCTTTCTTCTTCAGATAACTGTAAAACTGCTGGATCAGGCTATAGACCCGAGCCTGAGGAAGGATCACACCGTCCTAATCAGACCTAACCCTATACCAAGCAACAATGCCTATCTAAAACGACCGACAAGCGAACGCAACCAGTGCTTTGGATCTCCGCGATTTATCGAACTGGAGCAAATGAATGCCCGGGAGTTCGTAGTGGACAACACCCTCTACCTGAAAGCCCTCTTTGAGATTGAGAGTTAGATAACAGCGCCATATTTTCTCATTTAAAGAAATTTTGGGATTTTGAGATATCGATCTTCTGTCTCACCTACATTTATGTGTACTCACCGACCAACAAAGATCAACACTATCAAAAACCTATCCTCTCTTTATGCACCCTTCCCCTCTACTATTGTTTTGTCTCCATTTTCTTAAATAAATAACATGCTGTCCTCAATAGAACTGCGTTCAGGTCTTCTAATTATCAAGTGAAACAGCAGAAGTCAATGTTAAAAGTATGTCCGGTATTTCCCAGGATGAATAACTCAAAAGCGGCGGGGGGGGGCAGAATAGGAAATGCTAGCAGCAAGTGGGTCCAAAAAATATCCTCTAATTGTAATTGGTCAAATAGAGCCACATACCTTCATCCCGCCTACCGAGCGTTACGCATACGGCTCAGTTCATTTCGAAAAATGTCAACAGGAAGGCAACGCAAACTCAAACGAGGACTACAACTGGGATCAGAGGAAAATAGAGGCGGAGCCGACCAGAAACCACGTGACCACCGTGGAACACTACCTCACCGCCGCGCTCAGGAGATTGACCTTACCTCACGCGGGCAGCAAGAACTAATTAGTCCGTCGGTCGACGAGGGGCAGGCCAGTCAGTAGGCTGACTTACGACCGCCATAAAGGGGAGCAAAGGTCACACGAACCCACCAGGGGTCAAACCCACGGTCAGTCAGCAGTGAAAAGGCAGGTCATAGTTCTTGCGTCGAGCCGGATATAATACCAGGTATATGGAAGTCTGAAACAGTCCCGGCAAATAGGAACAGTAATCTAGATACTCTAACGATGGAACCGAGTGAGTGTCCGAAACGTCAGTCTCAATATAATTCAGTCCGTGTCCTCGTAACTTCTTCTTCCTCTTCTTTGGAGAGTGGTGAAAAAGATAAGATATCTGGACCTCAAATCTTCACGCAGACTAAATGCTCAAATATGTGGGATTTTACTCGTAGGTTGCTTTTATGAACACGAAATGTATACCAAATCTTTGGGTTGCCTTCCCGATATCGTCTGCTATAAATGAATTTGCTTACATTTAATTCGGCATGGCCATGCTTATATCGTCTGTTCAACGTTTTCTGCAAAATGCATTAACAATTACTTTTACCTGGGAGTCACATGCTTACACCTGCACATTTGACTGCGGTATGCATCCTTTGTGGAAAGTGGACTCTAAACCGTTTCTACATGAAGAGGAACTACAGGCTTAAAACGTATTTTAAAGATGTCCGAAGAGGAATTGGCAAACATACGTATACTTTCAATAAATTCTCATCAGGCCATTACATTTATATGAGAG